TAATATGGCTTGTGATAAATTATATTAAATAGTCATAATAAAATAGAAATAATAATACCAAATTTAAGTTAACTAATAATAATAATAATAATAATAATAATAATAATAATAATAATTATAAATAATTTATTTATTTAGCAAAATCTTGTATTAAGAGATATGAATAAATTAAATTAAAATACCAATAGTAAATAAGTAAATAGTTATTGATATTTTTTAACTACCAATGGTAATGTCAAAGGATTTCGTAATATCTAATAAGAACAACTTAAAAAAATCTTAAGAACTTCATCCTAAATTATATATTGCAAATAATAGATATAGATTATAAAGAATAAAAATATCAATGTTACAACTTTTTTCATTATTATTAGAAAGGTAATTCCAAAATTTTGTTAGAAATACCTTGTTAGCTAAGTGGAGTAACCCCAACTATTAATATATTACGCAACGAGGGCCGGTCCTGAAAAATTAAATATCTTCAAGGCCCAAGTGGAACTAGAAAAAAATAGCCCTTATCGTTATTATAAGTTTTTATTTTTAAACAAAAATATATATGCAGCTGTCCACTTTGCCTCCTTAACACCCCATGTATGCAACATTGCACTTATTAATGAGTTATTATAACATAAATCCAAAAAAGTTTTTAACGACCCAGAATAGAAATGTTTTCATTTTTTGGAGTAATATAGATAATAATTTGAAAGAAAAAAAAATGTTCTTTATAATAGAGGCATTCCAGTTCATGAATGAAAAACTAAGTGACATCTGAATCACATTAAAAAAATAGTATAACCAGTGAAATTGTGAAACATTATTAAATTAATTTTATCTGAAGTCAGGTATTACATTTATTTTTTGTTACAAGAAATTAAAGCTACATAAATAAAGTCAAATGATGAATTTATTTTGAAATAAAGTTACCAAATAATCTAAATATTTATGAGCATTAATGGAACCTCATATATTCTGGTACTATATAATTAAATCAAATGGAGGGGGAAATAGAAATGTAATCAATACATAACAGCATGGTAAGATACCCAAATGCGCACACATAGATTACTGTCCATGTATGCTTCCAATATGCTAGATTCAGTAAACTGATCACAGTACTTGTTCTCTACCTCTTGCAGGGTTTCTTGATGATATTATTTTTTAGCTTTTCTCATCTTCTGTTCAGCCCAAAAACTGCATGTGCAACCACTTTCAATGTTATGTCTTATGGTGCAAAAGGAGATGGGAATACAGATGACTCCAAGGTACATCATATCTACAAGTTTAAATCAAAAGAGAATGTGGTTCCATGTTAAAGAATCACTAACCAGTTAGTTGTTTTTTGAATTATAATTATGTTGTAGGCATTTATTCGAGCATGGGCAGGTTTATGTGGAGATAAGTCGCCAGATCCCACCTTGATCATTCCATCAGGGAAGACATTTTTAATAAAACCGGTGGCATTCAATGGTCCATGCAAATCCCCCAGGGTATATATTAAGGTAAAGAAGACTCATAAACTCATTATCATGTTAATTTACCAAGTAGTATATGATTGATATTTTAATATATCTTTTGATGTGTAGCTTTTGGGAAAAATCACTGCACCGAAGACTCTCAAAAGATGGGCGGGTTGTGTGGGGAAAGACTTTTGGATCAATTTCTCATGGGTGCATGGACTGACTATCGATGGACCTGGGCAAATTAATGGCCAGGGATCCATCTGGTGGGGAAAGAAGGTTATATATGAGTTTCTTGGTAGAACTTGATTTTTATATGAACACTTGAATTATCGGGGAACAAAAAAGCTTTGGACTCATCATAAATTTCTGCAGGTGAAAACAGAAACTTGTAATCACCCATCGGTAAGATGTCTAATTTTTACATAAATGATTATAATGCACGAAAATTATGCAAAAGCTAACATCTGAAAGTGAATCTTTTAGGCTTTACATTTTAATAAATGTGATGGCCTAAGGATAAGAGGAACAACGCATATTAACAGCCCGATGATGCATATTAGCATCTATGATTGTAAAGGTGTAGATGTTGGACATCTTCAAATTCTTGCACCTGGAGACAGCCCCAATACTGATGGAATCGACATCAGTGCCTCATCTCATGTTAATATCCATGACTCTACTATTCAAACTGGTATCAATGTCTTCATTCATAGCAATTTCTTCTATGATGCAGTCTTTAAATATACTTAAAATTTCAAATAGGTGATGATTGTGTGGCCATTAATGGTGGAACTTATGACATCAATGTAACCAGGGTGTTCTGTGGACCTGGCCATGGCATAAGGTATTGGATCATGAGCTTCAAATCTCGATCATAACTTTTACACAAATTTTCCTTCACTAAATGGACTGAGTTTTTGCAGTATTGGAAGCCTTGGGGAAAACCGTGGATATGACACAGTCGAACAAATACATGTAAGAAACTGTAACATCACTGGAACAACAAATGGATTACGGATCAAGACAGTGCCGGTAAATTTACATATATCTAACATGAGGATAAAGTTTGGAAATTTCCTATCGTTATGAAAGATCACCTAATTTGTGTCCATTTCTTGTATTGAAGTATGGAACGGGGTATGCTAGGCGGATTCTATTTCAGGATATTCATCTTGTTAATGTTGAAAATCCTATCATAATTGATCAACATTACTGTACTAATTCTGAACATGCGTTATGCCCCGCACCGGTAAGTATTATACTCTAAATCAACAATCCCATCGTTCTTTCTTGTAAAAGATGTATTTTAGTATCTCAAACCTTAATATACATCTTTTTCTTTGATCCCATCAGCCAAATGCACTAGCTGTAAAAGTGAGCGATGTGACATATACAAATATACATGGGTCTTCAGCGACAAAGCAAGCAATTACTTTCAATTGCAGTGGGAAGTTTAAATGTACAGGAATCCGAACAAACAACGTAAGAATCACTGGAGATGGCGATTTTGCTTACTGTGAAAACGCTCAAGGAAGATTTGTAGCTACCACTCCAAGTGTTAGCTGTATGTAAATTTTAAATCCCCATGCCCTGATTGGTCAATTCAACTGAGAGTGCAGATTATGATACATATTCTATGAGTGTTCTATTGCATTAAATGATAAAAGGGGGAAATTAAATGTATACTCAACATAGAAGATCAAATGTACATATAGGATGCATGAGGAGTCTCTCCCTTTGCCCGGTCAAGAGGCAGTGTCTCTTATGGGATTCAAGGGGCACAACCCTGACTATGGTCAAGTGGCAGAGCCCCAATTAACATACCTAAAAGGAAGCAAAGTAAAATAAATATACATGTTTGGGTTCTCTGCCTTTACGGGGTTCAAGGGGCACAACCCCTGGCTGTCTAGGAAGCTTTGTCAAACAATTTGTGTTTGTCTGACAGCAGAAAAACTTTTTACAACAACTAATTCCAAAATTTCATTTTTAAAATATAAATAAACCATTTCAAAACCATCTTTTTAAAAGTACATAAAATCCATTTGGTTAAAAGTCATAAAACATAATTTCAAAATAGAGTCATATTATATACCAACAGGAGTCTCAAAACAAAATCATAACACCGACACAGTGTATAGTCACACCTTCCTTTTCTCACTAGAACAATCTGAAAAACATTTAACTTTAAAAGGTAAACACAAAGCCTAGTGAGTTACCCACTATACCACACATTACATCACACATACAATGCATACCACCAGTGAGCTCACTGATGAACTAAAACCGTTCCGCCAAACACTTGTAGGCAGTAGGCTCACAACCTAACGCTGATCCACCATATCATCCGTAGACTCACAACCTAACATCAATTCGTCATATCACCTGATTAACATACACAAGACTATTCTAGTCTAATCACATATCTATACACAAACAATACACATACATCCTATCACACAAATGACATATAATGTCACACATTATGTAACATCCCATTTTTACAACAAAATTTTTCCATTTTTAATTATAGTAAAACCTCACATATATAAAATCTCATTCAAGAAACCATTTGTTCCAAGATACATTTGTTTAAAAATCATAGTAATATATTAAACACATAATCTTCATGGTTGCTGATGAATGTGTACAATTACGCCTTTGCCTTCCCACGATCACTACCGGTACCTGCAAAACATTTAATCCACAACTGTATGCCAAAACTTAATGAGTTCCTCCAAGATACATCACACCACAATATGCATACAATGCATGCACACCGGGCCTACAACATAAGACCGGATTGCCCCGGGGACCACAACAAGCACAAGGACTGGATTGCCCCCGAGCCCATCACACAAAGAGTGGATTGCCCTCGGGCCCACAACACAAAGACTGGATTGCAACGAACCTCACCTTCGACCCCTCGGGGTAGAAGCTCATCATCTGGTACACTCCATATTAGCTACCCAACGCCTGGAGGTAATGGGGTCTTTCACCCCGAAGAACTCTAGTGCCCCACATCCCTGAAAATCCTTGAACGTGAGGGTATGGCCTCCGAACTATTCGACGGACATCTCAGCCTGAAAGGCCCGAAAACGCTCCTCTATCATCTCAACAATCCCTTCCTTGATCGTCCCGAACATCACAGGGGTTGCATCAAGGATACCTTGCGTAATCTCCGATGCGATGAGCTCGTGTAAACCCTCATCCATTGGTTCGGTACTAGTGTCCGAACCAGATCCTGAACCTCCTGCTTCACCACGTGTCGTTATGATACTGAAATACAATATGCGAACAATCAAAATACATACAAAGAGGCTCACACTCAAGGAGTTTCTCAGATTCATGATGACTTTCCTTGACTCGGGTACAGATCCTATGCTTTTAGTAGTATTGGCTCAATACTACCTTCCACACCTATTTGTACCTTCCTCAAGAATTATCATGAATCCTTTATGCCGCCTCCTTAAAACACTCCCATAAAACTCTGCTAACCATACACACAACAAACTACTATATTTCCTAAATTCTCTTAGGAATCCTTCCTCTCTTGCTCCCATACTACCAGGAACTTCTACCAACACTGTCAGTTACTTATTCATGCAAATTATACATAAAATGGGATCACACATACTATCAAATGACTGATTCTACCCTAAGCCCACAACCAGACAAGGAATAGGAAATAAGGCCAAACCAGTCATTCTAGGGCTATATGATCCTAATCGTATACAATTTAAAAGCATACATTTAACAATTAACTAAATCAATATAAATTCTGATTAATACATAACATTCAATCTTTCTAGGCCATAAGGTATCACACAAATTAGGAAATTCTATCATACAATTCTTGAAGGTATTCTTATCCCTAGTCTAACATGCAATCCACTTATAAACATAACAACATATATGGTATTTTGGGAAAACTTGCTTGAGCTCGGCTGATTGCACACATTACACCCTTTTTATTAAAAAAAATCTTTTAGAAAAGTCATTTGTCTTTTGAAAATATTATCAATTCCTCAGTTTGAGTCTTGACACACCTGAAAGTGGGCCTGAATCCCTCAAACCACGAATTTGATACCAACTTGTAACGTCCCAAAAATACTAAGTAAAAAAAAATTCTTTTAGTCAACCAAAAACATTCATTCATTCCAAAGACCAAACAAAGTATAAAATGTATCAAATAGTCATCAGAGTATAAAACAATCGTAGAATGCAGAAAACAATCGTAGAATGCAGAATACTGGTGGATGTTGTGTGATCATGTCGGGTTCTTCACATTCAAGCCAGAAGTACCTGAAAACATTAAACCACATAACTATAAGAATAAAACTTAGTGAGTTTCCTAAAATACCACATATAACATATATAACAACACATAACTGTATCAGTTCCGTAACAACCTCGGGTCCGTATCAACCCCGAGTCCATAATGATTCCGAGCCCAGGTTGGCTCTGTGTTAGACCTGTTTCGACCCCAAGCCTGTAATGACTCCAAGCCTAGATCGGCTCTATATCAGATCTGTATCGACCTCAAGTCCGTAATGACTCCGAGCCTAGATTGGCTCCATGCATACAAACATATAATCATACCAGTAATAATCACGTAAACACATACATCCTACATATAAAAATTTGTGGGCTAGGATTGGTGCCTTCAACGCACAAGTATGGTGGGAGGACTCACCTGTCTCATGAAATCGGCTAACCACACAGCTACTTCCACGCGAACGACAAAGTGGCACGCCTATTAAATGCAACAAGTCCCACTTTAGTCTAATCTCCAAAACGAGCTAATTTGACCAAAGTCAACTCGAATCAACGAGCCAACACATAAAATCAAATTCAACCGTCAATAATCTCAACATTGAGTCTCACGTCATGACCAACCCTTGGTCAAGTCGTAAGAACCCATTCATTCCGATACTACTTAACTCGTTCCAACTCAACCAACTCAATCACGGACAACATACTCAACATAAGTCACGACGTGAGCCATCCTTGGTCACATTGTGAGAATACATAAAGCCTAAAACACAGGATCCTTCCTTGGTCATGTTGTGGCACCTCGAGTGTCACGTCGTGAATTCATTCCGATCATTCTCTTAATGATTTATATCCTTAAACCATTAAGTCCCCAACCCTAACTTTTCCAGAAGCTTAAGGGGACTCCAAAGGTCCATAAAAATGTTTACTTTATAGCCATGCATGCTCCATGCACGTCCTCAATCCATTCTAGGTGAAAAGTAGAAAGATAACACCAAAACTCTCATGCATGACCCCATTACTCTACCAAATTCTAGATCTGGAACTTATGATGCTTAAGGGATCCTTAGACTCCATAAAGTTGCTAACTTTGTGGATCCCTTCCATTCAAACTTGGTTAAACATGAAGAAAATGGCACAAAAGCCTAGATCTAGCAACTTAGAGCTACAGTATATGTTATGGTAATTAAAATGAACAAATAGCTAGCTATCCTATGATGATTTTAATTTATAAAGTCGCTTTTGATTAAATGTCATTTTGTTATAAATTAATTATGATTAATAGAATAATTAACTTATGATATAATGAGTAGCTGTTGGGCAACATCACTGCACCAAAGACTTTCGATGGATGGAAAGATTGTGTTCGGAATCACTATTGGATTTACTTCACATCTGTGCAAGGACTCAAGATCCAAGGCCCTGGGCAAATTGATGGTCAGGGTTCGATTTGGTGGAAAGAGGAGGTCGAATTTCATAATCTCTAGTTTAAATTAATTCAATATCAAAAACTTATATTAATTAAATGGAAACATAAAAGACATCGGATTCATGGTTCCTTTTAATTTACAAGGGAAAACCACAACCAACACTTGCAATCGCCCAACTGTAAGCCGTCTGCTTTTTACAATGTTATGGACTTGAATGAATTAAAGCTTCGTGAAAACTGACATGTATATATGCCTATGAATGTTTAGGCTTTACATTTTCATTCTTGTGATGGCCTTCAATTGAGAGGTACAACACATATCAACAGCCCGAAGCTACATATGAGTATCAATGGTTGTGAAGATGTAGATGTTGGAAATCTTAACATTTTAGCTCCAGAGGATAGTCCCAATACTGATGGGATAGACATTAGTGGATCCTCACATGTTTATATCCATGATTCTAAAATTCAAACTGGTAAAGGAATAGTTAATAATAACATTCTTGGTTGTTAACGATTTATTCTATCATGTATATATTGAATAAGCTTTATAATATGCTTCTTTTTCTGGAAACGATCGAAAACAGGCGATGATTGTGTTGCTATTAATGGTGGGACGTATGATATTAATGTAACAAGAGTGTTATGCGGACCTGGTCACGGAATAAGGCACATGAAGAAGCTCTTACTTATATATATATATATATATATATATATATATATATATATATATATATATATATATATATATCGATCATGACGTTTATACAAATTTTTTCTTCACTAAATGTATGTGATTTTGCAGTATCGGAAGCCTTGGGGAAAACGGTGGTCATGACAAAGTTGAACAAGTTCGTGTAGAACATTGTAACATCTCAGGAACGACAAATGGGTTACGAATCAAAACGGTGCCGGTAAAATTACATACAACTTGATGACAATCTTTCCAGTTTTTTGCATATCGTATTTAATGGTTATTTGATTTCAATCCATTTGGTATGTCATATATAGTATGGAACGGGGTATGCTAGGAAGATTGTATTTCAGGACATCCATCTGGAAAATGTTCAAAATCCAATTATAATTGATCAACATTACTGTAGTAATCCGGAAGATGCCTTTTGCCCAGCACCGATATGCTTGTTCTCCATGAACATAATCTCATCTTACCAAAGATGCAATTCCATATCTAACATTTACTGATTTTTTTATGTATTAGCCAACGGCGACAGCTGTAAAAGTGAGCGATGTTATGTATACGAATATATATGGGTCTTCGGCAACAAAGCAGGCTATTACTTTCAATTGCAGTGGAAAGTACAATTGTACTGAAATCGTAACAAACCAAGTTGGAATCACGGGACATGATGAATTTTCTTACTGCCAAAAAGCTCAAGGAAAATTTATCGATACCAACCCTCCTATTAAATGTTATTAGATTGTACCAATCCCCCATAGGGTTAAAATCCATGTACTTTTACATGTTCTAATGATAACAAAGGTAAATATATTATTTTAAGAGCTTCCCCTCCCGGATAAATTCTACTCACATACGGATAAATGTATTACCCGTCAACACCCGTTTGAACTAAATTCCTTTGCTACATGTCTCCAAGCTCCAACTTATTCTATTAAGACCTACAATATAAACCCATAAAGTTAGAATAGAAATTAACCAATGATATGTTTGTACCACCCCCTCAAACTTAACATTGTAAATAAATTAATCACTTTTAAATGGATCAACATATAAGACCGATTCTTTTTAAAAGAAAATGATGATGATTGAAGTTAAAGATTTTGTCAAAATATCTTTAGCAACATGAATCAATCTCAACGGGTGAGTCGTTATCACAAAAAATGAAACTGGAATCAATTTTTTAATTCTTAAATTAACAATTATTAACCTTCAATATCCACATTACCTGACATTTTATCGAACCAAAAGAACGATATCCTAATTCCATCGAAAAACTTTTATGTTTGTTGCTCTTCCAAGAAATAATAGTATTCCCTATATAAACACAATGCGTAGTACATTTATGAAGACAAACATTTGGCCCATTCAGCATCCACAAAACTTTTCAAAGATAAACATTCATATCTAGTTACATAATTCCCTTCCATCATTACTGTTTAAGAAACAAAGTGCAATACTGAGATGTGACTTACATTAAGTGTACATAAACTAACTCAAGAGTTGAACAATATACCAAAAAGCAGATCCAGTAATAGTTAGATAAATCAATTTTCGAATTTATATCTCAAATTTAGTAACATTTTGCAATAGATGGTCAGCCTTATCAACCCCATCGCTTTTAATAACATTAGAATCTAATGATTTTTTAACCGGTAAGATACAGAATTCATGAATTTTAGTTTTCTTAGATCTTTTATAAAAAAATTGATTTTAAAAGTATATTAACTTTACTTGTTCCATCAATGTTATTTCCTATCAAAAAAATATCATCTACATACACACACAATACAACTATTGACTAACTTTACTTCTAACAAATAGTGAATAATCATTAACACTTCGAGTAAACCCAAATTGAAGATAACGAAGAACACAACTTTTCATTCCACTTACGTGGAGCCACCACTAGAAAATAGGGGGTTTTCCTACAGAAAATAGCTACGGAAAATTTTCGTAGCTAATTTAGTTACGGAATCGTTACGGATCAGCTACAGAATGGGATGCCCTAATATAGTAACGAAATAGTTACGGATACTAGTCCGTAGCTATTCCGTAACTAGTTAGCTACAAAATAGCTACGGAATAGTTACGGATGCTAATCTGTAGCTGTTTCGTAGCTAATTAGCTACGGAATAGCTATGGATACCAATCTGTAGCTATTCGGTAGCTAATTAGCAACGGAATAGCTACAGACTAGCGGCGGAAGGAAACGGCTACAGAATAGCTACGAAATAGCGACGAAACACGTCTCTTACACAAAATTCCCTTTCCTAATCTTATAATTTGTTTGTCTATATTGTGACAGTAAAGTTGGAATTCATATTGCCAAAAATCGGGTATGTACATGATAATGTACTAAACACGTGGAATTAGATTGGTATTTTGTTAAGGAAATTTTACAAGAAGATCTTGTTTCTCTTCAACATATACCTACTCAATCTCAACTTGCATATCTTTTTATTAGAATTCTTCCTAGTAACTAAAATTATCACTTGTTCCGACAAGCTGGGAAATAATTTCCCGTTGTCCAACTTGAGGGGGATGTTAGTATACTAACTTTTTTTTCCTTTGACAGTTAGTTATAACATGAGTGAGTTTGTTAAGTTGTTTGTGTTAGCTTAATTGGTTAACCATTGCAGGGGGAGGACATGAGTTTGTTAGGTTGTTAGTGTTAACTTAGTTGGTCAACCATTGGGTGGTGGGGGGGGGGGGGGGGGGGGGGGAGGGGGGATGGGCAACTGCATAAGGCTTGATTATATATATATATATATATATATATATATATATATATATATATATATCCTACCTAATAAATAAGGATCCTTTCACTACTAGAAAAGATGCTTTCCTTGACGGACAATGTCTGTCGTAAATGCCTATACATGACTGACAAATGTCTGTCATTGAAAGCCACATCATAAAAGAAAATTACAGACACTACTAGAAAAACAGCCTTTTACGACGCGCAATGTGTGTCGTAAAACGCTCAGACGACGAGCAAATGCGTGTCAAGGAATGCCCTGTCATAACGAGAGAAGACACGCTTTTGCGCGCCGTCTATTTACGACGTGCAATTACGACACGCATTTACGACGCGCGTTTATGACACGCATTGTGTGTCAAGGAAGGCCCTGTCATAAAGGAAGATGACATGCGTTTGCATGTCGTAACCTTACGACGCGCGTTTAGGACATGCATTGCGTATCATTAAAGCCCCTGTCATAAAAGAAGATGACACGCATTTGCGTGTCATAAACTTCAACAACCATTTACGATATATACTTTTACGAAACGTCTTTACGATACTCATTTACGCATAATACAAAAATATGGAAACAAATTTATACCAAAATAATCAATTTCATCCAATAACATAATGTCAAAAAATTGTAATACATTGGTATTAAGGGGATCTGATTGTACATTGCTATTAAGTTCTCTAACTATATAACCTAATACTACATTACTATTATGGAACACCTTCTTGTTTCTACTTCTTATTGTTATGCTTCTTCTGTTTCCACATGATGCCTGTGGAGGCTCCACCCAGTTATCACTCACAATATTCTTAAAGTCAACCTTGTTCTCATCCTTCATAAATTAAAACACACAGTCACCAAGAAGTTATGAGCATGACACAACATAGTAATACAACATAATCATAGGACAAGAGAACAACTGAATACCTTGTCATCATCAAAATCATACAAATCAGCAGCTGCATATGTAATCCATTAGAAGTTAGAATACAATAAAGAAAGTAAAAATGAAGATGCATAAAAATTAAATGTACATATTGTCATCCATTTTTTACTTGATTGCATTTTCTGTGAATTTTTTCATCTTGGCATCAAGTTTAGCAGTTGCCTCTTCTCCCTTAGCAATGATTCTATCGATATCTTCATCTGTGATTGTACTATCCTTTGAACCGAATACCATTTCATCACCAAACCTCACCATTTTTAGCATCTCATGTTTGTTTATAGCTGCCAAAAAAAAGATGACATGTTATTTAGAAGTAATGGAAACTAGTAAAAAGGTGATGTGAAGAAATGCTTACTCTTTTGCTCAGCTAAACGTCATTGTTGAATAACCAAAGCATCAAGTGCAAGCTTTTTATAAGCTCTTTCAATGACTTTCTCCTCTATAGTGTACTGTTTATGTTTACAATCAATTAAAATTAGTAAACAATCATTCCAGCAGCCTTGTCATCTATTATAGTACACCACAAATTCTTTTAATATAATAAGAAATAGACTTGATTAAACCAATACTGTCATGCTGCATAACAAATATAAATATAAATGTTAAAAGTATGAACCTATGAGAATATCAACACCCTTGAAGTCAAAAGTCAAAAGTTGAAATGGTAAATACCTGTGAAACGGCCTGTTTACACAACTGATGCACAGTCTCATCATTCATTATAACTCCTGTGAAATGTAACACACATGAAAAATGAGGGCAAAAATGTAAACATAAAGCTATTTGAAAATAAATGAAATCTCAAAGTATACTGTTAACATAAAGCTATTTGAAAATAAATGAAATCTCAAAGTAACATGATTGATCCATAGTTAAATCAAGACTTGTCATTTATATTTGAAAATAAATGAAATCTCAAAGTAACATGGGGTTGAGGGATTTTGTTATCTGTAACTGCGGGAATGCCAACTTCATTCTGCAAATTTGAAGGATACTATTATTCAATTATCAAAAAATCTCTTCTTTATAATAATGGTAAGAGGGTAGAATTCGATATCTTAAGTTAAGAGCAAGAAAACTAATGTTCATACTTCAACCTGAAACAACATTTTTAGATTATCACCAGATAATTACGAAGGACCTTACGCTTTAGTAGCAGCATAAAGTGCATAAAGAGGACTAGAAGGCATAACAACTGCAACACCCGACCCAATATTAACAATAGCTCCTTTCTTTCTCTTGATCATTCCAGTCAAGACGACATTTGTAACTTTAGTTGTCCCTTCAACATTAACCTTAATTAAATTAGACATCAACTTCATGAAAAAATCTAGCATAAGGATAACAAACCCCAACGTTATTGATCAAAACCCCAACATCTATACCAGCAACTGTTTCCTTAATCCTCTCAATCCCATGATCTAAATCACAACTAAAATCAACCACAACAACTTTGATTTGGGTTTGTTTGAATTTAGTTCGGATTGAATCTGAAACATCATTTAGTTTAGCAAGATTCCGATCCACAAGAAACAAATTTAGTCCTTTACTTGAAATTAACGAACACCCAATTAATAATTAATTAAATATATAAATGCAAGATTTGAAGGAGGAGGCCCAGATGCTGAAGTAACATTTTTGACCAATACCATCTGTAGGACCCGTAACCAATGCCCATGACCCGTATTTCTTGAGGTTTTTAGCGGGTCTGAGGAAATTAACGAACACCCAATTCAAGATTTGAAGGGATGATTTTAGTAGAGAAAAGGAACCTCCCAATTCAAGATTTGACCCAATACAACTATAAACATATTAACCTTCTCGTAGAGATCAAGGTCACCTGATGCTGTCAAATCAACCAGCAGCCTCACCAGTGCACAATTGCTGAAAAAAGGAACCTCCCATTTGCTAGTATATTCTAACTGATATTCGGCCAGATCAGCTACAAGTGACACTGATCTCTTGCGTAGTCTAACATCAGCAGCGGCGTTGCTCAAAATGCCCTAGAAAACAAGTTTTAAATTAGAAAAGACTTTGATTTGTCAACTTCCACATGCATTACCTGTAGCATTAGGTCGCCGCCTTCGGAATAGAAGAATTTGAGGCCATTTAGGTTGTTTCTAATAATCGCTGAAACATCATACAACGCTTTTATGGCTTCTTCCTCTAACACACTAGATTTCACCATTGTCATTATGACAATTGATTGCAAGTTATGAAGCAGATGAAATATTGGACACACAAAAGGATTCAAAGCGTGGTTCAGTTAAATCAACAGTGACTTCATCATCTCCACCATGTGAACCGGGACCTGTAACTGTAACTGGTTCTTCGTTTTCATGAGGGGTATGCACAAGCAATGAAGATTCAGACGAAAATGATCTACTGGATGACAATTGTTGAAGCTCGCGTTCCATTATAATGGTATAATCCTATTTAAGAAATTAAGATTTATTTCAGAACTCAGAAAAAACGACTTAACAGAGAAAAATTCAAAGTCAAAGTCAAACCTGAAAGCGGTCAACGGAGAAATTCCGCGTTTTAGATTTTTCTGGTGCTATAGTTAGAAGTATCTGAACAACTTCACTCATTGTTGGGCGAGCATCAGGATCCAACAACAAACACTCTTTTGCTAAATAAGCCATCACTTGCATCTCTTCTTCTTCAAACTTCCCTTTCAGACGTGGGTCCGGCAGTTCCTTACTCACTCTCCTGCTATCTTGTAAAAGTGGTGTCGGCTGAAAATGAAAATTATCACTTTCTTTTACTAAATTACATTTTTGATCCTTTTTTTGCAAATTTGGTCCCCAATAATTCTAATTATTGCAAGCTTCGTCCTTATTTAGTAAAAGAAAATATAAGATTAAGAAAAAAGTAAAAAATAATAATAACTAACCCAAATCACAAGGCTCTCTTCTCCTTTGTCTTGTGACTTGTATATCGGATGCCGACCACTAATAAGTTCAAGAAGCACAACACCAAAACTAAAAACATCTGACATCAGCGATGCCCTTCCAACAATCGCATATTCAGGGGCAAAATAGCCAAATGTCCCCTGCATTCTAGCAGGTGAGCTAGAACAGCTTGGAACACCATCACTCACCAAACTCTTAGCCATTCCCAGATCAGTAATCTACCAACAAAATCATCACACAATTAAAAATCAAACTTATTAATATTCACAAATGTGATATTAAAAATTATTAATCCCAATTCCCACCTTTGCTCTCCAGTTTTCATCCAAGAGAATATTAGTGGATTTAACATCTCTATGCAGGATTCTTGGTGCAGCTGCTTCATGAAGATATTCCAACCCTCTAGCAGCTCCAATGGCTACTGCAATGCGGGCCCCCCAGTCTAGACATTTTTCTGAAACCCCATCTAGACACTCTCTCAGGTTGCCATTTGGCATGTATTCAAACACCAAAAGCATCTCAGGCTGTTTTGTGTGGTATTGGTATTCCAAACAGTACCCAAGTAATGGCACCACATGACAGTGATGCAGTCTGGACAGCAGTTCAATCTGAACATAAACTGAACTTGTTTATTAAAAAAAAAAAAAAAAAAAACTATTTTGCATTTATATATTTAATTAATTATTAATTATTACCTCTGTCAAAAATGTTACTTCAGCATCTGGGCCTCCTCCTTGAGATTTAAGACGTTTGATTGAATCTTGCTAAACTATTTAGTTCTCATATATGCCTCAGCTTCTAACCTTGATTTCCATTTGACGTTTCTGTAGCTCATCGGTAGATAACTGTTGAGCATCATGAACTTTTAATTCTAACTTTGCAGGATCTGAGTGACCTGCAGAAATGAGCACGAAATGCCAACTTCAGTTAGAAAAATATAACATTTAAAGCAATATAAACTTTTGTTCATTATATAGGATAAACTAAAAATAACCATTCACAGTATCATATTTTGTTCACTATAAAAAAATATATCTAAAAGTGAGATTACCAAAATACCATCACCTGTTTATGGAAATGATGATGTTTGTAACACAAAATAGTTAAGATACCTTAATCTAAAGTCAAGCTTTCTCATATCCCTCATTTATTTGGGTTAGAAATTGCACATACGACCTAATCCACATTCATAAACGATTCAACAAAAGGTATAAGCTAATTGCACGCTACAAAATCTGTCACCGAGGCTCTATTGGTCATATTTATACACGTAAACTAACATATACAATAGGAAAAAGATTAAACAATGAAGAAAAGGACTATGATGGTAGTAAGAATAGTATAGATATACCTGAGCCTCATAGTCTTTAATATACTGCTTAGCCCTTTTAAAGATAACTCTTGGTTTTTTTAGGTGCATCTAGATGAGCCAAAAACCATATGAATCCGGATTATCCAGAAGATCAGGTGGATATGGGACAGTCCAACATGAAGCGGTGTGGATCCACTTTGATATGTGTCATCGATGCTTTTCTGGTTTCTGATAAAGAAAAGAAGATCAAAACATGTACTGAATTGATTTTAAAATTATAAATCAACTCAAAATAAAATAAGAATTAAAACAAAATAGGAGTTTAATGCACAACATTTCGAATTTCCTAGCTCTACTAATAAACAATGAAGAGGATTAGTGAATAATAAGCATAAATTATTCAAAAAAAAAAATTCAGCATCAGAAGTAGAATTCCAAAACTTATTTTAAAACACAAATCTAACAATAAAAAATCAAATACAGAACAACAATATATGTAACAAAACCTAAGGGGAAAACTTTCAATCAGGTTTCAAATTTCATGTTTAGGGTTCGGAAATGGGCAAAATTCCCAAAGAACGGGACACCACGGAATCGATTCATCATTCGGTCCAAATATCATTATAAATCACGAATTAGACTCATGTAATTACCCCTGATCGCACTTCGCGCCTTCAACTCTGATAGGGTTCGAACAGAATAACGAAACAAAGCGTCTTCGGAGGAAAAGAAAACAGAATATGGAATATCCGGAAGGTTAAGGGGATATACCACAGTTGAATATTAGGTGGTGTGAAGAATCGACTTTGATGTCCATGGCATCGTCCTCAAGTGAAATAGATGAAGTGGTGAATTTTTTAGTAGGAAATCAAGGGCTTTTGTGGATGACCTCGTCAATGTTTTTGTTGGGGAAGAAGACTGACATGTTGTTGGAAGAGAAGGAGAATCGTTGAATCGGTACATCTTTCAACGTGGAGAAGATTGAAGGAGAGGAGAAGAAGAGACGTACATCATTCAAGGCGGGTTTTTTGATTTTTTTTGGGATTTCATTTTCCGCCTAGCTACTAAACAAAACGCGCGTTCAGTAAAAAAAATATATAAAGTGACACCTCTACACGACACACATATTTTTTTTAGGTGCCCTCTGTGGTTTTTTTTCCTTTTGTTGGGACACTAATTTTAGGGCACGCAAAAATGCGTGTCCTAAATCCTTCTAATTTTGGGAGAGATGACATTATTTTTAGGGCACACACTTTTGCGTATCATAAATTCGTGCGTGTCGTAGTTTGCGCGTCATTAAATGGCTATTTTCTAGAAGTGAGACATGCCTGCCATGAAATTTACGACAAACCTTTATGACCAATAATTATGACATACATACATGGCATTCATTTTTGACATACATTTACGATTGACTTTGAATGTCCTAATTCGTAACATTTTTGTAATTATGACAGACATTTACGACTTCAAATTACGACATACTTTGTATGTCATGGTTTTACATTTTTTATAAATTATATATATATATATACATATATATATATTATATATATATATATATATATATATATACACATATATATTCTACCAAATCTTAATCAAACTAAATTACAAATTTATTGTCTAAATTACACGAACTATCGTATCAAATTCAAAAATACATTCAAAATTCATCAAAAAGTAATTGTCAAATACATATCACTTGTAAATAAAGATTATGACATAAGCATCCCATTTTTCATGCACCCTATCAAACAAGCTCGACATCTGTATATTCATTATTCCTCCAAAATTGAGACAAAAATTAATATATTAGCAATAAACTATTAAACAATTATATATGTAAATATTCTAAAACACTTCAAGTCCATCAATTAACTAATGGATTTACTTAATTCGTTATTCAACACTTCAAGTCCTTCATCAACCACCGTTTTCATGAACTTATGAACTTAAGAACATAATATCCGCATTCTGTGTAACTAGGTTTAAAAGACATTATACAACCAGGGCCGACAGGTAGATTTTAAGCGCCCTGTGCTAAGAAGAAAAATGGGACCCTAAATACAATTTTTAATATATAAGGAAACTTAAGACGGTGAATTGTAACTTAAAAGTAAATAAATTAATTAAAAAGGAACATATGGAATTTTATAAAAATTTAAGGGCTAATTATGCAACTTCGGAAAACTGATTTGTTAAAGGAGGGGTTGTTTATGAAATATATAACAAAAAGAAATGGCCAAATTTGTAACTCTAATTTAAAAAGTCAAAATGTAGTGAACAAGATTTGAACCCAGTTACATAGGGACACGTCTTTGCCAATTGGGCTACACAAATTTTGTGCAATATCTTGAATAAACTCATATATATTTAGATATTCAATATATAATTTAATTAAAACTCGGGCCTTATTTTTTTGGGGCCCTGTGCGGCTGCCCCTTTGTCCCCCCTTAAAATCGGGCCTGTATACAACTATATAATAAACTGATCAGTATAAAACAATAATATATTAGCCAAACAATTTGTGTTGTCTGACAGCAGAAAAACTTTTTACAACAACTAATTCCAAAATTTCATTTTTAAAATATAAATAAACCATTTCAAAACCATCTTTTCAAAAGTACATAAAATCCATTTGGTTAAAAGTCATAAAACATAATTTCAAAATAGAGTCATAATCATAGTAATATATTAAACACATAATCTTCATGGTTGCTGATGAATGTGTACAATTACGCCTTCGCCTTCCCACGATCACTACCGGTACCTGCAAAGCATTTAATCCACAACTGTAAGCCAAAACTTAATGAGTTCCCCCAAAATACATCACACCACAATATGCATACAATGCATGCACACCGGGCCTACAACATAAGACTGGATTTCCCTGGGGCCCACAGCAAGCACAAGGACTGGATTGCCCCCGATCCCATAACACAAAGAGTGGATTGCCCTCGGGCCAACAACACAAAGACTGGATTGCAAAGAACCTCACCTTCGACCCCTCGGGGTAGAAGCTCGTCATCTGGTACACTCCAGGTTAGCTACCCAACGCCTGGAGGTAATGAGGTCTTTCACCCCGAAGAACGCTAGAGCCCCACATCCCTGAAAATCCTTGAACGTGAGGGTATGGCCTCCGAACTGTCCGACGGACATCTCAGCCCGAATGGCTCGAAAACGTTCCTCTATCATCTCAACAATCCCTTCCTTGATCGTCTCGAACATCACAGGGGTTGCATCAAGGATACCTCGCGTAATCTCCGATGCGATGAGCTCGTGTAAACCCTCATCCATTGGTTCGGTACTAGTGTCCGAACCAGATCCTGAACCTCCTGCTTCACCACGTGTCGTTATGATACTGAAATATAACATGCGAACAATCAGAATACATACAAAGAGTCTCACACTCTAGGATTTTCTCAGATTCATGATGACTTTCCTGACTCGGGTATAGATCCTGTGCTTTCAGTAGTATTGGTCCAATACTACCTTCCACACCTATTTGTACCTTCCTCAAGAATTATCATGAATTCTTTAAGCCGCCTCCTTAAAACACTCCCATAAAACTCTGCTAACCATACACACAACAAACTACTATATTTCCTAAATTCTCTTAGGAATCCTTCCTCTCTTGCTCCCATACTACCAGGAACTTCTACCAACACTGTCAGTTACTTATTCATGCAAATTATACACAAAATGGGATCACACATACTATCAAATGACTGATTCTACCCTAAGCCCACAACCAGACAAGGAATAGGAAATAAGGCCAAACCAGTCATTCTAGGGCTATATGATCCTAATCGTATACAATTTAAAAGCATACATTTAAAAATTAACTAAATCAATATAAATCCCGATTAATACATAACATTCAATCTTTCTAGGCCATAAGGTATCATACAAATTAGGAAATTCTATCATACAATTCTTGAAGGTATTCTTAGCTGTAGTCTAACATGCAATCCACTTATAAACATAACAACATATATGGTATTTTGGGAAAACATGCTTGAGCTCGGCTGATTGCACACATTACACCCCTTTTATTAAAAAAAATCTTTTAGAAAACTCATTTGTCTTTTGAAAATATTATCAATTCCTCATTTTGAGTCTTGACACACCTGAAAGTGGGCCTGAATCCCTCAAACCACGACTCTGATACCAACTTGTAACGTCCCAAAAATACTAAGTAAAAACAAATTCTTTTAGTCAACCAAAAACATTCATTCATTCATTCCAAAGACCAATCAAAGTATAAAATGTATCAAGTAGTCATCAGAGTATAAAACAATCGTAGAATGCAGAATACTGGTGGATGTTGTGTGATCATGTCGGGTTCTTCACATTCAAGCCAGAAGTACCTGAAAACATTAAACCCCATAACTATAAGAACAAAGCTTAGTGAGTTTCCTAAAATACCACAAATAAAATATATTATAACACAACTGTATCGGTTCCGTAACAACGTCGGATCCGTATCAACCCCGAGTCCATAATGACTCCGAGCCCAGGTTGGCTCTGTCTCAGACCTGTTTCGACCCCAAGCCCGTAATGACTCCAAGCCTAGATCGACTCTATATCAGATCCATATTGATCTCAAGTCGGTAATGACTCCGAGCCCAGATTGGCTCCATGCATACAAACATATAATCATACCAGTAATAATAATGTAGACACATACATCCTACATATATAAATTTGTGGGCTGGGATTGGTGCCTTCAATGCACAAGTATGGTGGGAGGACTCACCTGTCTCATGAAATCGGCTAACCACACAGCTACTGCCACGCGAACGACAAAGTGGCACGCCTATTAAATACAACAAGTCCCACTTTAGTCTAATCTCCAAAACGAGCCAATTTGACCAAAGTCAACTCGGATCAATGAGCCAACACACAAAATCAAATTCAACGGTCAATAATCTCAACATTGAGTCTCACGTCATGACCAACCCTTGGTCAAGTCGTAAGAACCCACTCATTCTGATACCACTTAACTCGTTCCAACTCAACCAACTCAATCACGGACAACCTACTCAACATAAGTCACGACGTGAGCCATCCTTGGTCACATTGTGAGAATACATAAAGCCTAAAACACAGGATCCTTCCTTGGTCATGTTGTGACATCTCCAGTGTCACGTCATGAATTCATTCTGATCATCCTCTTAATGATTTATATCCTTAAACCATTAAGTCCCCAACCCTAACTTTTCCAGAAGCTTAAGGGGACTCCAAAGGTCCATAAAAATGTTTACTTTATAGCCATGCATGCTCCATGCACGTCCTCAATCCATTCTAGGTGAAAAGTAGAAAGATAACACCAAAACTCTCATGCATGACCCCATTACTCTACCAAATTCTAGATCTGGAACTTATGATGCTCAAGGGATCCTTAGACTCCATAAAGTTGCTAACTTTGTGGATCCCTTCCATTCAAACTTAGTTAAACATGAAGAAAATGGCACAAAAGCCTAGATCTAGCAACTTAAAGCAATAAAGTTTGAGCCTTTGACATATACAAAGGTGCAGAAAGAATATAAGATGATGATGATGATGATAATGATTCCTTGAAAGCTCCACCAATAAACACCTTCTATTCTTTCTTCTCTTCTTCGTCAAGCTAGAAAATGCACCAAAATGGCTAAGAATCACCAAGAGGGTTATGATTAGGGTTTTCATGAGGTTGGAGAGTGAAGGATGCTGAGGATGGGCAACCCTAGCCTCCTCATTCCTTTAAATACCTGAAAACTAGGGTTTTTGGTCATCAGATGGTTTTCACGTCGTGACCCATACGTGGTCACGTCGTGACACCCAAAAAATGCGTATCCACGAAACAAGGCCATGTCACGATGTGACGAAGCAAACCTCACGTCGTGGCCCACTTCAAAATGCAAAATACTTGGAAATTATTACCTCGAAGATTCGAATGTTACACTTACTTAATATTT